TGCATCCTTTTTTTGACACCCTAACCACGGCAGTAGCGTTCGACTGAAGTCACATACTTTCCATGCAGAAAGGTTGTAATTGTTACCTGGTTGGAGGCAGTCAGTAGAAAATTCTGTTCCATCTGTGTCTCGTAATTGTTGGCACTAGTCAACAAGTTTGAGGGAAGTGATGTCGCCTATGAGATCTAATCCTAGATCACCCAGTGCGGCAGTTAGAGACGTTACCACTGAGGTACTGTTTCAACAATATTCTCTGTGATGATTGTGACCACAGTGTTCACAAAATATTGCCTGTGTTCAGTCTACGTGTCTGTTCATATATATCATGAAAAAACCTATGGAATAACATCATAAACTTATTTGATATGTTCTGTGCCAAAATATGAGGCTTGGGTTTAGCAACTCAGTGGTTTCTAACTACTCATGTTTTTCAGTAGTACATTTCGTCACAGATTACACTTTTGATCGTAACTTTGTTGACAACACAGTACAGTAGTTGGGCACTCAGAGAATTTCCGGACTGCGGGAGATGTCATCGTGGATCATGTAACGCGTAAATAATTTTAAAACTGATTATGCTGTTGGAGATTTAGGTGTGACTGTTTGGTGTTATAGTCCTAGGACTAACCGACAAATAAATTTCTTCTATAATGATTTTCTTCTTGTAACTTCAGTGAAATAAAAAGAACTTCATATAGCTCGTCAACAGTTTATCGTCCTCGAGTAGCATTCATATGACTAGCTGACATGAATCTGACTCCAGTAAATTTTTATTCTAGTCTGATATACCTTTGTGCATAGCAAATACCCCCAAGACCACTGATCCGCTATTCCCCAGAGAAAACAGAAAAATCACGAAACCAAAACAAAGGCAGGATACGGAATTCCATTTAGATCAGAATAAACTTCATTTAAAAGCAGATAAACAAGCAGTTCAATCGTCATTCAAACAAAAAACATCGAGTTTCAATGTTCACTTTAAATGATCAGATCTACACTGTATGGCAAATCATGATTAGCCCCACTCTTAGAAGAAAGAAAGATATTACAGATGTCTGTGCTAAAAATCAAACGTCAACTCAAGCATCCTTGACTGTTGCAATCAGTATTATGAAATCAAAAGTTAATTATCTCTTACCAAAACAGAATCGTGAACAAATTAAACAACTTAGATTTAACAAGAATTTACTAATAACACGTCCTGACGAAAGTACTGGCATAATTCTCATGGACCGAAAAGATTACATAGAGAAATGTTGAGTCTATTCTCAGACAAAAAAGATTTTCTAGACGTATTAACGAGAGGAATAGATTGGAAAACAATCATTTAATTAGCGAATAACTTTACGAAACCATTAGATCAACAGTTTATGTAATACCACAGCTTCATGGTTTGACGAAAATACACAAAGCCAACCTTCCATTTTATCTGATCCTAAACATCTCTGGATCATCTTATCATTCAATCGTGAAGTGGTTAGCTGATATTCTAGAACCTGTGAGGAAATATATTTCCATACTAGGACGAAACAGCTGTCCAGTGCTCCCAGGTTTCCTTTGTTCCTCCAACTGATGTCAGTCTTCGATGAATAACAACTTGAAATATATTTCTGTTTATTCCTTTCAGCACACCTTGGAATTTTTCGACTGCATTAAGAACACCAATCTTTCATACAAAGGTATGATATCACTCGATGTCGAATCACTCTTCATCAGTGTTCCACTCACGGAAACTATTTGCTTCATCTGCAACTAAATAGATGAAAACAACCTGAACATTGGAATGTCAACCTTTTATTCCAAAGAATTGTTATTAAGATGCGCTCTTAATGTGAAACTCACTTTTAACGACTGAATATTCAGAAAGAAAAGGGTTTACTATGGGATTCCCCTTGTGATCATTTATGCAGATACCTTTATGACAAGTCTGGAAAGTAGTAGTTTGCAATCAACAATCAGAGATTTTAAGCTGTATAAAACGTACATTGACGTCACTTTCATTATTTGTAATTATATATGTGAATTGAATGATGTTTTACATTCGTTTAACAGCTGCCAACCGGCGACAAAATTCACCATCGAAGTGAAAAGTGATCCGAAAAATTCCTATCTAAGTGTGGAACTAACGAGAAAGGTTGGTAGAACATTGAGAAAGTCAAAGGTACCCTGACCAAAAAGAAGGTCACTTCACAGAAACACTACATAGAATCGGTAGCTAACATGTTTCCACCACTGGACAGAGGAGAAATAAAATTATATCCTTTGCTATACGCATCCAAACCTTGCCTAGTTAATTAGTTACTGGGCCGCTCCTAAGCCCGGATAAAGAGGAAACGTTCAGCATAGGGATAGCAACCCTACAATGTAAAACTAATCCAATCGCTAAACAAACTGATTCCTCGCTGGAATCGGGGAGACGAAATGACATCAGTTGACGGAAGCCTTCGAGTAGCCAATTACCCGATGTGTCTTCTCTTCTCTCGATGAAAGCAAAAGTGAACATGGTGACATGGAATGTCCGCACAATGTTTGAAGCTAGCTGGTTGGCTGGTTGGTTGGTTGGTTGGCTGGCTGACTGACTGACTGACTGACTGACTGACTGACTGGCTGGCTGGCTGGCTGGTCATCGAGTGGAAGCCAAATGGGAACCGACGAGTTGGGCGTTCCAGCTGAGGGTGACATGGAGGAGATCATATGAGGAAGAAACGAAAGTTTGTGGCAGTCGTGGAGCCAGGTTGAAAAGACTGCAGAGAAGAGGGTGCAATGGTGACGTGCTACTAAAGCCCTGTGTTCCACTAGGAACCCAAGGGGAAAATAATAATAATATCCGCATCCAGCACATTTGCAGTCCAGATGCTATAGATGAAAAGATAAGGATTCTAAGGAAAAGTTTGATCGAAAATGGATATCCTCCACAGTTCATGGATAAAAATATCAAACTGAAACCGCCAAAAGCTTACTCAGTTTCCGCATCGAAGTAAGTGCTATTTACGAGCCTTGACTTCAAAGGTGGTTTAGTTGGTAACATCCTAAACTGAAGGATTTCAAGCCTCCTGAATAGAACTTTTTTGAAACAACTTTCAAATTGATGTTCTCTAGTCCCCCTTTACTAGCCAAAAACCTGAGAGACAAGATCCCGCATCTGCCCACGTCTATGTATGTACATCAGTTCACCTGCTCCTGTAAAACTGGGTACATATGTCTTCCTGTCCAAAAAGGGTTGAAGAACACTATCGTACATCGTTATAAAGTGGTAACAGTGGATCTGTAAGAACTTCGGTTATGGAATACCTGATAGACACTGGTCAGTTAATTTCAACATTTTACAAAGTGAAAAGAAACATACCAAAATCAGTGCACATCCTTCATCTTTGTATTGCTGAACTTTAGCAATTCAGACAGAAAAGTTGGAGCTTTGCATACCAAAGAGATTTGTTCAAACTTGCTCCTTTCATGGTTTTAACCTTCATTGTTTCTTTTTGTTCTAACTCTTCTTTCCACTCATAGCCTTAACTACTCCTTGCTGCTATGCCAACCTTTGATTACAACTCTTCATTAATACTGTGTCAGGTAGCTCAAAGCTCTATTCAAACTTCAGCATGTTTACTTAATCCCTATGACAGCTTGAACTATATTTATCCATCTTAGCAACTCTACATGTTATGTCATAACAGTTTAATTTGCTTGTTACTATGTCTTTTTGATTGCTTTTCTATAATCATAAGCATTTTTCCATTTTATACATGCGTCAACTTGTTACCATGCCTAGTAAACCGTATTCACCCATGAAACAAATTGTATATTCTTGCTGGGAAATTGTACGATTGTATAGCTAAATGAATAAATTCTGTTATTATATGTTGATAATCATGGTACTGGTGTCACTGTTTAGCAACTGAATAGAGGCTGAGCATTCTATCTTATCTTCATCTTCCACCTCACTACCTTTTTACTTGATGTACTGATATGGGCTGTGGCAACTCGGACCGTTACGCAGTAATGCCTGGTCCTATGTTGATACTGATGATGATGATTCTGTCTTATTTGTGACTCGTCAGTTGAATACACTTGTATCTCAGTATGTAATGGTGTCCATGTTGAGGATCAAATTCATTTAGAAAACCACTCGAGAGTTGTACGCCTTGCCATTAGGTTGTTAAAAATATATATTGTTCATTGGTGTCAGTTGTTCTAAGAACTTAAGATATTGTTTTCGTCGTGAAGTAACAAACTGACATTCAATTCGGCTTTTACAATCAATACAAAATATCCATTTGAGAGAACTATTGAAAAAATAAATACCACTGAACAGTTGTTTCACCCCATTGTGTTGAATGGTAATATCACGTAATATGACCTCAGTGCCTTGGGCTCGATCCTATATGGGGTCACGACAGCATACTTTAGGGCCGTCTAGCATCCAATGCTGATGATGATCCGTAGTGAGAACTGTCCTTTGAATGGACCAATCTCTCAGCAATCCCTCTCAATTTAACTGGTAATGATAATGGGTGGTAAATGAGAGTGGAATAGGAATCTGGGCCGTGGCAGGATTGGAACCGGAAACCTCCGGGTTGCAGGCATGACGCTTTACCTGCTAGGCTATGAAACCTGACTGCTGCCCGGATTTTAAATTTCACTTCAATCAACAAAAATTTTGCCTGGTAGGTATGTGAATTCGTGACGCATTACTAATGCTGGGTCGTATTCACACTGGTGCCCAGTCAGGAATTCTCAGATAGTTAAGACTTAGTTAGTTAGTATTCCTGCATTATGATGGTTGCATTAATCAATATGTTTGTTTGTCTAATAAAAGAATCTAATTTCAAAAATATCTGATCGATTATGAAGGAGAATAGGTTAGAACACAACCTCTAGCTGATAAGCTGTATCAAATCATAATAATAATATGTGCATAAGTATGTGCATAACTGGGACAAATCGATAGTATTTTTTTCTCTTTCAAATCTACATATATAGACACTTCATCTACCTAGCTTGTCAGTGAAGAACTAAAGACAAAAGGTGAAAAAGTGAATAGGAAGTAGAAAAAACAAATACTTGTTTCTTTTAACCTAATTTCTATTGGTTACTAGAAGTAAACATTTTCTATCCCATTTGAACCAAGACATCAGAAGAACAGCCATATATGGGCATAATTTATTTGTGTGAATCAATGATAACGATGTATAAAGGACAATCTAGGGTGAAAAATCTATCCGGCTGCTAAATAGTGCACGTAATAATTCACTTGTTCCATTCCACGCCTTAATCACCTCAGCTAAACCAACATGGCAGATGAAGAAGTTCAGGCCCTTGTGGTAGATAATGGTTCAGGCATGTGCAAAGCTGGATTCGCTGGTGACGATGCACCAAGAGCTGTATTCCCTTCAATTGTCGGACGACCTAGACATCAGGTAAACAAAATTCCTCCAGCCATTCATTCATGCTTACATGCCTTTTCATTATCTAAGTGTAATGCATTTACTATTAAATTGATTACTAAATTTACGTTGAATCAGATGACAGAATGTTTGTGATACTTGCAACACAGTGAAGTGATATCGAGTGGTCGACGGTTTTCCACTGTGTAACACGCATCACGAAGATTCCAACACCAGGGAGGATGTTATGTTATGTAGTACATGAACGTGTTCCTACTCATTCATATCTGACTGGCCACTGATCACTGTCTCTTCTTCTCTCTCAGGGAGTCATGGTCGGTATGGGTCAGAAGGACAGCTATGTCGGTGATGAAGCACAATCGAAACGTGGTATTCTCACCCTCAAGTACCCAATTGAACATGGTATTGTCACGAACTGGGACGACATGGAGAAGATCTGGCATCACACATTCTATAATGAGTTGCGTGTAGCTCCAGAAGAACACCCCGTCCTGTTGACTGAAGCTCCACTGAATCCAAAAGCCAATCGTGAGAAGATGACACAGATCATGTTCGAGACATTCAACACACCAGCCATGTATGTTGGTATCCAAGCTGTGCTGTCATTGTACGCGTCAGGTCGTACGACCGGTATTGTGCTCGACTCTGGTGATGGTGTGACACACACTGTACCCATCTACGAAGGTTATGCTTTGCCACACGCCATCCTGCGTCTGGATCTCGCTGGTCGTGACTTGACTGACTACCTGATGAAGATCCTCACGGAGCGTGGTTACAGCTTCACCACAACTGCCGAGAGAGAAATCGTGCGTGATATCAAGGAGAAACTGTGCTATGTGGCTCTGGACTTTGAACAGGAGATGGCTACTGCTGCCTCCAGCTCATCCCTCGAGAAGAGCTATGAACTCCCTGATGGTCAGGTCATCACCATTGGTAACGAACGCTTCCGTTGTCCTGAGGCCTTGTTCCAACCGAGCTTCTTGGGTATGGAATCTGCTGGTGTTCACGAGACCACCTTCAACTCAATCATGAAGTGTGATGTCGACATTCGTAAAGATCTGTATGCCAACACAGTGTTGTCAGGTGGTACAACAATGTTCCCAGGTATTGCTGATCGTATGCAGAAGGAGATCACTGCATTGGCGCCAAGTACAATGAAGATCAAGATTGTTGCCCCACCTGAGCGTAAATACTCCGTTTGGATTGGTGGTTCAATTTTGGCGTCACTGTCCACCTTCCAACAGATGTGGATTTCCAAACAAGAATATGATGAGTCTGGTCCTGGTATTGTTCATCGTAAATGCTTCTAAGTTATTTATCAGTCCGCCTTGTAGGTCTATTATCTTCACTAATGCTAACCTATATTCTTGTTTTAATAACTATTATGAGTATTTCCGTGCAAAATCTTTTAGTCAATTAATTTCTTCTTCTGTGCTCTATCTATTCTAGAATATATGACATGACATTCATATTATTAGTAAATGCGAACACAAAATTTTATCTCACTCCAAATTCTTCTTCTGTTTCTGTGCTCCATATCATCATTCTTGTTCTTCGGCTATATTATAGGCGGTCCTCGAAAATGAAAAGATACTTCTAGCTATTATCAATAATAATACTCATTTACTGAATTCATGTTTATGCATTTTTTGTATTTGTTTTGCTGACGTATAAGAATTTGGCGTGCCGTTTGAAGAAAGAGATAACGTTTTGTACCTTTTATTAGCTTATGTTTTCGTGTGTAACAGGCTGATAAGTAGCAGTTTGCATTAATTTATGGGAATGATTTAGGGGATGTGATGGAGAAATTAGGAGAACCATATACTTAAATTTAAAAGTATATGGCGACGTGACTTATTTAGGAATGGGTCTTATGCGAACTTGACAGACGCAAAGGTCAATCACTACTTATTCGTATTTGTTATATGCCCACGAGTACCAGACCAAGGAAGAACACAATAGAGTAATCAGGTGGAATAGCATATTTGATCGGCCGTACGAAAATACTGATGCATTCCGACTGACTGGTTAGTGGATCACGTACGAGCAACGTACCGGATGGCGTAGATGGTTGAACCAGTGCATTCAGCTTACCCAGTTCGTTAAAATTATGAAGGTCAGCATTAATGTTGAATCGCATCGAACCTTAAGCTATTGATTTTCATTAATTAATTTCTGCTATATATACACCAAGGTGTCCATTTTGAGTGAATTCTCGATACTTGGAATTTCTTTAAGTATAGGCAAGTTGCTGGTGCTATAGTCTTAAGATTAGACAGTGAAGGTATACTCATTAATCAGTCACATAGTGAGTAACTCGTGGCTTAAATAGCTCAGTCGCAATTCTCTGACTTCCACATCGCTTCATGAAGGCTCTAGTCAACGAGGGAACACTATGCTCCTCATGTATATACCCTTGCTGATTAATCCCACCAAGCATGAACTTAGGTTCAGGACTTCCTGATCATCAAATTCCGATATCTTAAACATGTATATCAACAAACATCTTTGATAATAAAACAGCTATTGAATAGTGTTATAGGGATAGTGACATTTATACATTACCTCAACAACCTACGGTGAGAATCACAACTATGTCTGTACAACGTTTTGCCATATCCTAAGGTGATAGATTTACAACCAGAGGGAACAACGACCAAGATAGCTAAACAGACCAAAAACATACCAGACTTTAACAGATTTCAGAATACTAGTCATCCACGGAAATATATATCAGATGATTCAAAAGTAATGGCTATAACAGGCAAATATATGAAACCCCACTTCATGCTGTCTGAATTTCATCACTTGGTGAATTTAGTTAACTCTGTGCATATATCCGTTCCCATAAGACCGAAATAGGACACCAACTGGCAAACCCAACTACTAAAATGTTATTAGCAGTAGTATATGTAAAAATAGTAAATTCCCATGCACAAATATTTATTTTCGCTAAGTTGTCTTCTGTGTACAGATGGTAAAAGAACTAAGATAGTAACAGTCGCTGCAGTAGCAGTATTTGTGTACCTGTAGTATAAATTCATTAAGTCATTAGTGCAGAATACGTTCATTGATTGATCACTGGATAGTAAGCAATTTCATACTGACAAATCTTCAGAGCTGACCGAATTCTATGGATCAAATTGGAATGCAGTCACCAAGCTAGGAAAATCCTCATCGTGGTACATATAGACTTATGTCAGATGGTTGGAAACAATTCACAGGAAGCCTTGGACATAAGTTTTGTGCTTTTTACTACTCGTCAGTAAGGTGTGCCTGCAACTTCCAATTAACTAGTATCCGCTAGGAGATTTGAAACCATGTTACACAATGTTGAAGTCAGAGACACTGTCAATGAGCTATTCGGCTCAAAACTGATTTGTGGGATTCGAACAGATATATCGAATGGTCACTGCACGGTAAGCAGTCTCATGCTGTCGGGTTGCAGATTCAGACCTCAGAAGACACATGGTTTCCACAGAGGGAGTAGATGCATCTTGTCGAAGACTCCCTAGGTCTACAAAGACTTCCATCCTATTGTGTTAAACTAATTAACGCACTAACATCGCCTAGTTAACTACTTCACTAGTTATTCGCCACTCCTAAGCCCGGATAAAGAAAGAAGGTTGAGCATAGGACTAGCAACCCTTCACCGTAAAACTAATCCAATCGCTAAACAAACTTCAAAGCACAAAGAAAATCAAAACAAACTGATTCCTCGCTGGAATCGGGGAGACGAAATGACATCAGTTGACGGAAGCCTTCGAGTAGCCAATTACCCGATGTGTCTTCTCTTCTCTCGATGAAAGCAAAAGTGAACATAGTGACATGGAATGTCCGCACAATGTTTGAAGCTAGCTGGTTGGCTGGTTGGTTGGTTGGTTGGCTGGCTGGTTGGTTGGTTGCTGGCTGGTAAAGCTGCCCAGATTGCAAAAGAGATGAGAAGGTATAGCATAGAAGTACCAGGCTGGGAATCTGAGAAAGCAGATGGAATGCAAGTGGACTCTCCAAACTGTCAACTGGAGAGTCAATAATCCACTCCGATATTCTCACACAGACAACAACCACCAGTACACTGAGTTTCCGAGTGGCTATCATCATGTCTCCAACAGCATCAAAGGCTCTCATACAGTAGGAACCAATCTCCTCCAGGATCATAACAACAAGACTCAACTCAAAAGAAAGGAAAGCCACAATCATACAATGCTACACTACACTACACTACACTACACTACACTACACTACACTACACTACACTACACTACCTACACTACACTACACTACACTACACTACGCACCCACAAATAATCCAGATAAAAAGAAGAAGAAGAAGAAGGAATTCTACAGACAACTGAAATCAGTACTGGACAATACCCCCAACCCAGTTGACGACATCAAAATTCATTCCAATGTGTTGGGTGGGTGACATGAATGCCAAACTGGGAGCAGACAACACAGGAAGAGAACTGATCATGGGTCGAGAAGCACTCAGTGAAATGATGAATGAGAATGGAGAACGGTTTGCAGACTTCTGCACATTCAACGATTTGGTGATTGCAGTCAGGCACTATGTACGAACACAAGGATATTCACAAGGCAGCAACATGGATTTCATTTCACCAGACACCAGGACACACTACACTTAACATCAAATCGACTTCATCTCAATGTGAAGAAAGGGGAGATGGAGACACAGCCTACTCGACATAAGATCAGATCAAGAAGAGGAGTAGATGTAGCTTCACACCACTCACTTCACTATCTAGTGCAAGGAACCTACCTACCTTCAAAATCAAGTTGAAAGCCTTCACAGAACTTGGTGATGATCGACCACAGTTCAAGTTCAACACCTAGAAACTTAAGGACGAAACTACAAAGCACATCTTCACGTTGTCAGCCATCAGGAAGAAATGGGAGACACTAAACAACATCCCTAAGAAACATGTGTGGAAGAACACTGGAACTCTTTGAAAGCTATGTGGGGAGAAACCTGCATAACCGTAACAAGACAAGGAATGGATCTCGACGGATCTCCACATGGAAGCTGATAGAGAAGAGAGAGGAAGATGGTGAAACAGAAGATGAAGCAGTGCAGTGCATGGATGAACAACGAAAAGAGGAAGTGAAAACGACCTATAAAACACTACACTGGACAAAGAAGTGAAGAAGAGTGCACGCAGAGACAAAAGACACTTCTACGACACATTGGCAAGTGAAGCAGAACAGGCTGCTGGTAGGAGAGACAGAGACCTGACAACATTATATCAAATAACTATCTGAGAGGGAAGAGATCAACACAGATGAAACCAATAAAAGATGATGAAGGAAATCTAATTATCAAGAGGCTAAACAAAGGAAACGATGGACTGACTACTTCGAATAGCTCTTGAATCGATCACCACCACCACCACCTGCAACTCGTCCAGAAATACCACCAGCAGCCCAATCACACAACTACCAGTGAACACAAGCCCAGAAGTGAAGTCTTGAACACCATAAAGTTGCTGGAAGCCGGGAAAACAGCAGGACCAGATGGAATTACTCCAGAAGCACTGAAAACAGATGCAGAGACAACAGCAGCGGACATGCTCACACCACTATTGCACAAGGTTTAGAAGGAAGGAAAGATACCTGCCAACTGATTGGAAGAAGGGCTACCTTGTCAAACTCCCAGATAAACCCGACATAAGTCTTTACAAGAAGTGGCGTGGAATCATGCTCCACCTATGTCCACTCAAAGCAAGCAAAGTATTAAGCCGCATCATCCTGGAGAGACTAAAGGATGCGTTGGATTCGAAATTACCACCGGAACACGCTGGCCGACTTCTGGAAGAACAAATCATGTGTGGATCAAATTGCAACGCTACCTTACGCTACGCATCATCATAGAACAGAGCATACAATGGCAGTCAACTAGATCTTTACCTCAACTTCATCGACTTTGAAAAGACCTTCGACAGTGTCGACCGAGAGGGAATTTGGCAGGCAGCTGCTCCAACACTATGATTTTAGTGTCACAAACCTTTATCAACCTCATTCAACAGCTACATGCTATATGAAGAGGCCACATGCCAAGTGATTCACAATGGAAGAAGGCTCAGTGACGCCTTTGAAGTGAAGACAGACAGGAGCAAGACAAGGCTGCCGCCTACTACCACCGATGATTTCCTGGTCATGGTGGACTGGATCATGCGACAGACAACTGTGAGGAGCGAGAGGATGGGCATACGATGGCTGGACCGATGAAAAGGCCCCAGGAGAAGATTTGCATTTCGCCGCCGATGATGATTTATGTCTAATGTCTTGTCTCACAAGCTCGAAGGTCTACACGCGAAAACTAACAAGTTGGCAGAAGAGCCGAGGCAGCGAAGACACCACTTCATTCAGGTGATGAAGATACCCAACTAACACCACCAACAAAAACAACAAGCACCATGAACGTGAAAAGCCTAAAGGAAGTAGTCTCTTTCATCTACCTACATAGGCAGCATCGTCACAACTACAAGCGGCGACATAGGCACAGATGAGGACGTCAAAGCCACGATCGGAAAGACAGCAAGACAGGCTTTCATTAATCTGAAATCAGTGGGGAGATCTACTGCACTCCACTCAGCATAAAGCATGAACAAGATCCGGATTTTCAACACTAAGTCAGTCAAGTCACTGCTTCTATATGGTTCAGAAAGTTGGCGAGCTACGAAAAGCATTTCCAACAAACTACAGACATTCACCACATCAACAGCTGCCGCCTACGCTCACTCGATACTGAAGATGGAGATCAGATGGCGAGAATAACAAGAATAAGCAACAAGGGAGTCTGGCTGTCTGTCTATCTGTCTGGCAAGGAACCAACCAAGAACCTAACGCCCAACAAATATGCAGAAAAAAGTGGAGGTGGATTGGCATACACTGAGAAGACCATTCGAAGACATCGCGTGCCATGTTAGGGCCTCGTGTGGAACCCAAAGGGGAAAACGACGAGTTGGGCGTTCCAGCTGAGGGTGACATGGAGGAGATCATATGAGGAAGAAATGAAAGCTTCTGGGAGTCGTGGAGCCAGGTTGAAAGACTGCAGAGAAGAGGGTTCAATGGTGACGTGCTACTAAAGCCCCGTGTTCCACTAGAAACCCATGGGTAAAATAATGATGATAAATTCACATACTACGTTTATCCTACTATTGTTTGTTATTTCAGTGATTTCACGTTTACGCAGAAGATTTGTAGGTTAATACTTTGAGGGACCAATTTCTCGTGGAAGGGAAAGAATCCCGACTTAAACCAAGATGTAGGAAGATCGTGTAGCATCTGAGTTTAATCGCACTCCTAACATAGTATCTTCAGAGGCTATGCTAGTTAGATGCTTTTCTTCTCATTATTTCATAAAAATATTAAGGCTACAAATCGCGTCACAAAAATCAGCAGTTATTCAATAATACGAATATTTCTTCGTATCTTCAACCTTATTACTAACGGGAACATCGGTGATAGTATAAAAAGGAGAAGTATGATCAAAATACATCCCAGGGATTCTCATGCACTCAATGGAATCGTATTTCTTGAAAACTCTAAATGGTAAAAACATTTTATGAATCAGGATGAGGAGGATGATAGTTTTGTATCCTTTGAGCCTTGAAAATATATCGTGGACATTTCATCACCATTAAACTTGATGCCATTATCTGTTTTAAATTGGTGATTAGGTGACTGAATGGTTACAGAGTTACCCCAAGGCTCTTCAGGTCTCCACTGAGTCCACTATGAACTGGAGTATGTACACAGATTATTTACCAAATAGTGAGCATCACCCGAATAACCACCAGCACTGAAAATTGGTTGAATGGCCTACAACTGTTTATATCGGTCAGTTTAATATAAATCGTATGTACTACATTTGATATTCTACTTCCACCATCAAGGCAACACCATATACAATTATTGTAATTTTTATTTATTACTAGCTATAGAACTGCAAAACTCTGTTGGAATTCCTACGTTAATTAACTGCTACACTTGAATAAGAAAGTCCCTACATCAAAAGAATGTATGCGTCTGTTCAAATGCCCATCGGCTTTACAAATGTTTCAGATATATAAGTTTATTTACACCACTAATAAGTAATCTGTAGTACTCTTAGAAATTTAGGCTTTGGCTTCAATACGAAACAGTGAGTTCAAGACAAAAAAGTAGAAGTTGTTGTTGCCGAATTGTACGTTTACACGCCTCACTTTTACTGCTGAACTATTTTAGGGGTTAGCTAAGCCCTAAAGTTGATTGATAAACTAAGACTAATGTTCCACTAGGAACCCAAGGGACAAATAATAATATATTAATGTCCCTCTGTTCATTCCGATGTATGGAATTTTAGATGTAAATGTTTAAACTATGAATTTCAAACGTTTTGCCAGCATCGGTTGTAAAGCGAAGAAATTTGTGGGTCATTGATTTCAAGAATCTTACTTTTTATACATACCTTGCCAGTGTGAAATGTCTTTCCAGGCTATGATAAAAATGTAATCCACATAAACCGATAAAAAATGACTGTTATTCGCAAAAGAGTACAGTGAGGGGCTTTAACCGCCTTACTTCCTATCTTTCGAATGCATTATATTACATCTCTTTCATTCCTAAAATATAGGATGGTTACCAAAATGCCATTTTCACCATAACGTTAAACAGAAAGTTTGGAGTGACTTTGAAGACCACCTTGGCAACTACTAAATAACCAATCAAGTTTCAGAGTCTTGACTGGATAGGCTGTTTCTCACGGAACGGAAGAATGTAGTTGGTTATCCTAGCAATTACTAGGGTAGCATTTAAATTCACTCAAAGTTTGCAATATATCCTCATCGAAATTTTGACAGTTCCTAACAGGAGATTATAAGGTTACAAAAGCCTAACAACGACTACTATTTCAATGAATTAGGGTTTCAAAGTCATGAATGACACTGACAGACAAATGTTTAGGAGTGATTCATGTGGCCTTGACAATATGGTTGAATCTTTCTGTGGGAGTAACCATTGGAGAATAACGAATTTCATGTTGTCTTGTCCTCACACCCTGGCCAAATCTAGTCGGTAATTGTGTATTATGGTTACCAGGTTAAGAGACTCAACATTTGATTGATGCAAGATGGTTAGAGACAATTGACAGGAAGCTCTGGACCCAGGTTTCATGTTTGTTTGCCCTTGTTAGCAAGGTGGGTTCGAATCTTAACGGGGACACAAATTCCCTCGAGGCTGTAGATATGTTAACTTGCATGAAACTTAGGTTCATAGTTTTCTGCCGATCGCTTCTAGAACATCTGACAACAATACAAGAATATCTAACGTTTGATATTATCAATAAACATAAAACTGAATGAATTGGCTTTTGGTTGACAGCTGAAATAAATTGATGGGAGAGGGGAAACTGTGGCATTACACCTTGATAATATGCCACTCTATACTGTCTTTAACCCTTACTTTCTGTTTTTTTCTTTAAGAAAGAGTACTTAACTCGGTCTCTCATGGACGTTCGTTTCCCGTGACTTCACACATATCTTGGTCAGTTTAGTCAGGCTATACTTAACCTCCAAACGTCACTTTTATAAGTCTGACTGAAGACGACATTCTTCCAGTCTCTGGGCAACCTGTTTGCACCACTTCAGTAATGCATAAAACAACACTGAAAGCGGTTTAGTAATAATGTTCACCAGGTGTCTCGTATATATGAGCTACTGGTATATGTATATACCATGGTCCGAATTTTCTAAACACCTGTCAGACTGTTTTCTTTCTCATCACCTTACATACACAACGATTCCGACAAATTATATGATTCAGATAGAGGAAGAAAGAAAAATGGACACGTGATTATTACCGTTTAATTTCATATGAAAGTTTATTACAATGAACCTGAGAAAGATAGTACTACTGGACAACATGAGCAGTTAGAAACCACTTAGGCTAATCTGCAATATTTTATCAGCAAGCTCAAAGTAATCTAGCCGCCAAATAGTCGTACCTCTCGTTTCCGGTTGAATTCATTAGCTGTGTATTTAGACACCGGTCGGCTGGTGCTTAGATCAATCTGAAGAAAGAAACAAGCGACATAATGAGCGTGATAGCAGAAAAATAATTATAAGGAAATCGTAAAAGTGTGAGTAGTAGTAGTAGTAGTAGTAGTAGTAGTAGTAGTAGTAGTAGTAGTAGTAGTAGTAGTAGTAGTAGTAGTAGTAGTAGTAGTAGTAGTAGTAGTAGTAGTAGTAGTAGTAGTAGTAGTAGTAGTAGTAGTAGTAGTAGTAGTAGTAGTAGTAGTAGTAGTAGTAGTAGTAGTAGTAGTAGTAGTAGTAGTAGTAGTAGTAGTAGTAGTAGTAGTAGTAGTAGTAGTAGTAGTAGTAGTAGTAGTAGTAGTAGTAGTAGTAGTAGTAGTAGTAGTAGTAGTAGTAGTAGTAGTAGTAGTAGTAGTAGTAGTAGTAGTAGTAGTAGTAGTAGTAGTAGTAGTAGTAGTAGTAGTAGTAGTAGTAGTAGTAGTAGTAGTAGTAGTAGTAGTAGTAGTAGTAGTAGTAGTAGTAGTAGTAGTAGTAGTAGTAGTAGTAGTAGTAGTAGTAGTAGTAGTAGTAGTAGTAGTAGTAGTAGTAGTAGTAGTAGTAGTAGTAGTAGTAGTAGTAGTAGTAGTAGTAGTAGTAGTAGTAGTAGTAGTAGTAGTAGTAGTAGTAGTAGTAGTAGTAGTAGTAGTAGTAGTAGTAGTAGTAGTAGTAGTAGTAGTAGTAGTAGTAGTAGTAGTAGTAGTAGTAGTAGTAGTAGTAGTAGTAGTAGTAGTAGTAGTAGTAGTAGTAGTAGTAGTAGTAGTAGTAGTAGTAGTAGTAGTAGTAGTAGTAGTAGTAGTAGTAGTAGTAGTAGTAGTAGTAGTAGTAGTAGTAGTAGTAGTAGTAGTAGTAGTAGTAGTAGTAGTAGTAGTAGTAGTAGTAGTAGTAGTAGTAGTAGTAGTAGTAGTAGTAGTAGTAGTAGTAGTAGTAGTAGTAGTAGTAGTAGTAGTAGTAGTAGTAGTAGTAGTAGTAGTAGTAGTAGTAGTAGTAGTAGTAGTAGTAGTAGTAGTAGTAGTAGTAGTAGTAGTAGTAGTAGTAGTAGTAGTAGTAGTAGTAGTAGTAGTAGTAGTAGTAGTAGTAGTAGTAGTAGTAGTAGTAGTAGTAGTAGTAGTAGTAGTAGTAGTAGTAGTAGTAGTAGTAGTAGTAGTAGTAGTAGTAGTAGTAGTAGTAGTAGTAGTAGTAGTAGTAGTAGTAGTAGTAGTAGTAGTAGTAGTAGTAGTAGTAGTAGTAGTAGTAGTAGTAGTAGTAGTAGTAGTAGTAGTAGTAGTAGTAGTAGTAGTAGTAGTAGTAGTAGTAGTAGTAGTAGTAGTAGTAGTAGTAGTAGTAGTAGTAGTAGTAGTAGTAGTAGTAGTAGTAGTAGTAGTAGTAGTAGTAGTAGTAGTAGTAGTAGTAGTAGTAGTAGTAGTAGTAGTAGTAGTAGTAGTAGTAGTAGTAGTAGTAGTAGTAGTAGTAGTAGTAGTAGTAGTAGTAGTAGTAGTAGTAGTAGTAGTAGTAGTAGTAGTAGTAGTAGTAGTAGTAGTAGTAGTAGTAGTAGTAGTAGTAGTAGTAGTAGTAGTAGTAGTAGTAGTAGTAGTAGTAGTAGTAGTAGTAGTAGTAGTAGTAGTAGTAGTAGTAGTAGTAGTAGTAGTAGTAGTAGTAGTAGTAGTAGTAGTAGTAGTAGTAGTAGTAGTAGTAGTAGTAGTAGTAGTAGTAGTAGTAGTAGTAGTAGTAGTAGTAGTAGTAGTAGTAGTAGTAGTAGTAGTAGTAGTAGTAGTAGTAGTAGTAGTAGTAGTAGTAGTAGTAGTAGTAGTAGTAGTAGTAGTAGTAGTAGTAGTAGTAGTAGTAGTAGTAGTAGTAGTAGTAGTAGTAGTAGTAGTAGTAGTAGTAGTAGTAGTAGTAGTAGTAGTAGTAGTAGTAGTAGTAGTAGTAGTAGTAGTAGTAGTAGTAGTAGTAGTAGTAGTAGTAGTAGTAGTAGTAGTAGTAGTAGTAGTAGTAGTAGTAGTAGTAGTAGTAGTAGTAGTAGTAGTAGTAGTAGTAGTAGTAGTAGTAGTAGTAGTAGTAGTAGTAGTAGTAGTAGTAGTAGTAGTAGTAGTAGTAGTAGTAGTAGTAGTAGTAGTAGTAGTAGTAGTAGTAGTAGTAGTAGTAGTAGTAGTAGTAGTAGTAGTAGTAGTAGTAGTAGTAGTAGTAGTAGTAGTAGTAGTAGTAGTAGTAGTAGTCGAATTCTCCGTAAAGCTGAAATATACGTCACCTTATCCGTAACTCGTGTATCACGTGTTGATTTAGTGAATGACGTTTCATTAATCTCTGTATCCTCTCTTCCCTACTAATATTGAACTTCAGCATTGTTACTTAGTCTCGCCATATTCGATATGTGTGTGCCATTGGTTTAGCTGAAATTCTTTTTCTCGATTATTAGCCTTAATGAGGTCTATTATCCTACATTTGATTAGGCTCCTATGCTTCAACAATCTGTCTTCTGATTGGTGTGGTCGGCCTCCCTGCATGACCCCATTTTGATTGCATTGTATTTGCCAGATCAGAATTATTTGTCTGGTTGGGTCAATAGGATCTGTATGCCGATGCAGTTCATCTTGGAGCAAGTTTTTACTTTTAAATCTCACTTTAAGCCGGCTTGCTGAGAATTCTATGTAAAGCTTCCAATGTTTCTTCCCAGTATGGTAACACAATAGAAGCCCTGAACTCCTCTCTACTCATCTTGCCGTTACAATTCAAATCCACATTACTACTTCGTCTCTAATGTGATCTTAAGAATTTCCACATAAACTCTAGACAATAATCATTGATTAGTAATGTTCCCTGTATATGTTTCATATCCTTATTTAAGTCCCTGTACTCACTAGTGAGTTTTTGGCCTAATTACTTAAACGTTTGACTAATTCCATATTAAGTGATGTTGAATTTGATGACTTGAAGTCTAGATACCTGTGAGAGTGTGTTGGTTTCCTGTTGACGGTAGTATCTAAACCATCATCTGTTCTTCGCTTCACTTTCCAGTCCAACATGGATAATTCTCGTTGTTTGATACTTTTAATCTGCAGCAGATTTCAACGTTATGAATAATCCCGGAAGTATCGAGGCATCCACATAAGAATCCATCTGCTGATAGAGGTTGAGTATTTTGACCCAACGCAACAATGGGAGGTTGCAAGAATCAAGCAACAACAAATGATACCCGATACACAACAGGTGGGTTGCGTGTTCTAGTAGCCTAGTGGGTAAGACCCTGGCTTTCGAAGTGATGGGTACTGGGTTCAAGTCTCAGGGTGCATGTACGTCCAGCTAACGAGTCCCAAGTGGGACGAAAAACGCTTACTGGATTCCACTGCTAGCCACCAAGCTGACTACCACATAAAGGCTAATTCTTTACCTAGTAAGCGAACTGGGTTGCACCTACTACCGAATTTACATATGGGAAAAAACTATCGAAATGCCCCGATTTCAACACAATGAATGTATCACCCATATATCGCCAGGATATCTCAGGAATGTCATTAAATCTTCATAAAGTCGTAAGTCTTAAACTATCCATAAATATATCTGCTTTGATTTCTGATTTCAATGCCACGCCTTCTGTTTTATCAATAGTATCACTCTCACTTGATCGCCTTCAACCACAGGATGGGTATATCACACTCATTGATCGACAGAGTTCTATCAATAAAAATAACTTTTAAAGGACTATGTCTCTTGTTACTCGATGATTCAGAGTTTTATTGCGAATCATGACAAATATCACTCAGTTATATGAGTAATAAGAAACCAGTCTGACTAACCAGTGTTGCTGATGGCTTGGGAGATTGAAGTGGTTTATTGATTTATTGAAGCAAATCAAGGAAACAAAGGGGTTGTTCATTCACCCCGCCAATTTGTTGACCTAGATTCTTGGAGGTTGACTGGATATAATAAGGGGCTAATGATCGATGCTGAAAGGACACCTAGATCACGATAACTCAAGACCTTCAATCAATTTGTGTTGTTCCGGTTGGTTGGCTTTAGCTAATCATCTTCCACTGTTTAGACTAAGGCTTCAGACTCCACTCTACCTTTTAAGATCTCGGTAACTGCATGATAACATGACACTTCACTGCGTAAGCTGTGCGTAGTTATTGATCTGCTCTATTACTGAAGAAACATTTCATGATGTACGCTGAAACAACTGTCTGCTGGGATAAACTGTTAGAAATGAATGATTCTCACAACTGCGAAATATATTTGATCTAAGGCAGGAGGTCAAAGGCGCTTGCACTGGTCGAAGGTCATTGTGATGGTGTTCAAGGCCTTGCAAATGGTTTGTCGACAAGTAATTAGCAAAAAGAAAAATTATGCGGTTTGCGGTGTTTAAGATCTTGTATTTATCTTTTTGTTTGAGCGTCACAGCAACAACAACAACAACAACCTTCACCTAATGACAATGTTCTTGAACATCAGCGCAAATCTAATTATTCCTTAATTAAGTAAATACCCACATGACCTCTGGCCCTAATCACTTACATATCCCAAGTCAAGGTCATCATTGGCTCTACGCAACTAACTATTGGGGAAAAATCCACCTATTGATCTTGGATCTCGCATGTAGGTTATCAATTCAAATTGGGCGACTTTAAAGGTCACTCTACCAACTCCTGAAATAACCAATCAGGTGGAGGTATTTCGCCAAAGGTGGTTCTTAAGTTATTGGAGCACCTCCTACAATCACTCAGCTCTATATTGATTAGATTTCAACCAGCGCATAGTGATGCCATCTGATAATGAACAAGGAAACCAAGCACATTTCCTTGCCTAGCATCAAAAAGTTGCCGATCGTGTGACCAGTTGGTGAGGATCACAACAACAAAATAAGTCGGTCATATGTTATGTTCTTCTTCAAACTGCCATGGTTGCTTTGCTCATCTGCCAAGATTAGCAGTCATATCAATGTCTTACCAGTTTTCTATTCATCTATCTAGAAGATCGAATGCAATGAATTCCAGCCTCAAGTTTGTAGATATATCTTGTCAATGACTTCAAACAAACAGAATACCTGGGTCAACAGGTACATATTCCAACCTAGTGGTTGTCAACACTTGTAACACCCAGTGGCTCGATTGTAACTTGCTGACCGCAGAACCTGCAGATCCAACTTGAAACCAATAAATCTTTACAAACCTCAAAAATTGAATAACTGAAGTCAGTTTTTGAGAATTTCAACCAGACTACCTTACTGAACTGAACGCTTAGAAACAAGTTTATTCTACTGAAGATAGAAGGATCTGGCCGTTTTTCGTTCATTTTATCTTATCTGAGTATGTGGGAGCTGTGGCTTATCAGTCTAAGCACTTGGTTTCCGACCAATGGGTCACGGAATCGAACCCAGCCCCTGCTACCGAAGTTTGAGCATTCATCACACAACAGGTATGGCTCATTGTCTAATATACAAATACGTGCAAGGTTACTGATTGGATTCTGATTCGTTTCGATGTCGTCTGTATGTGTTTTCACTGTAACAGCGGTTAAATGTAAAGATTGAAGCTGATGAGAATAAAACAAAATGAATTTTTGTTTGCTTATCTGCGTTATCTTCTCAATAATTCGCATTAGTTAAATAAACTACCGAACTGACTAAATAATTTTGACTTCAATAACAAAAATAGATTTTGATCGATATAGTGATTCAATATTTTTGAATAAATATTTACTACAATCTACACCTACTTTTTCGACATCATCTCTACACTGAGCATGTAATTTATGACCTTAGATTAAGTTGAAAGCTATTTAAACAAAGAAAATGTTAGCGGTAATTCAAATTACATCTCATACTGAAGAGTCAGGAGAACGCAACAAACACAATCAATTGATCGATATATATATATATATATATATATATATATATATATATATATATATATATATACACGATAATAAAACACTCATGTATCAAATTAGGTATTAAGTGTGCACCATAAGAATCATGAACACAACATTTGCAAGTTATTTCTAAACTTTATAAACAACTGATCACTTGGTCGATTTTTATGCGCATTCAATCTGACTAGCCCGAGTTCACTAGCTGCATAACTTATCGATCTTAAATGTTGGATCAGAGCGATAACTACACAGGTGTTTAGATCCAGAGAGAGAGAGAGAGGTATGTTTATTGATGCATCAGTCCAAATGGAATGAGAAATCCTATATGAATAACTCATTAACTACGCACGCACAGAAAGTTAAACGTCGGTATAATTTCTTTCTCAAAATACCGATTTTGTAACTTGTTAGTTTTCATTTCAAACTACCTAGTCTTACTGTGTTCTTTCAACTTTACTGACCTCGGTTACATAGGCGACTTTAAAGGCCACTCTAGCAATTGCTGAAATGGTCAATCAACCTTCGATATTCTGTCTGGTAAGGTAGTTATTTTTAAAATGAAGAAACATGATTGGTTATCTCAGCAGTTGCTATGGTGGCCTGTAGAGTCACTCTATTACACTGTTCTATTAGAGACCGGTAAGTACGCTTCAGTTGATAAGTATTTTGTGAGTGTTAAAAGCAGCAACTTTAAAGGTCACCTCGGCAACTGCTGTAATAATCAGTCGTGTTTCGGTAATGTAGTCTTTCATAAAATATAGATGCCGAATTGGTGATCTCAACAGTTGCTAGGGCTCCCTTTGAAGTCACCTAAAAAAGATGCAAGTCCGTGCAACCTTCCCCCATCCACCACCCTCACCTCAAATCAACCTATGAAGACGATTCAAAATATTTTGAGAATTCGTCCTTTTAGTGAGTTAGTACATTGTAGTAAGAAGATGGGGTTTAGCTGAGAGACCGGGCGACTTTAAAGCCACCCTAACAACTGACAAAATAACCAATTAGGTTGCGGTATTTTGTCTAGGAAGATCATTTGTCATAGAATACAGAAACGTGATTGGTTGTTTCATAAGTTGCTAAGGTGGCCTTTAAAGTCACCGGAGAAATCCAGTGTATTTGTGTAACACATTTTAAATAGTCTGATTGCATATTTACCTGTCAAAACATTCCATAGATTTCAGGCAGATATTTATAAAGGACTGACATCATTTGGAGAAACATTGAAAACCTGGGAGCAATGGACAACTGTTCCTCCTAGTATGGGACTTCTTAACTAAACTCACCCCTCCACGGATCAAACCAGCACGTTATCATTGAGCCACTGGGCGGGAATCCACCAGTCCATATTTCCTACTTCCGTCAGTTCACGGTGTAGGGCAACCTCCATCCTCGGTGGGGTTACGGGTGCGCACTGTCGAGGAGTCCTATATCAGGAAGAAGCAGCTGTTGACTCCTTCCAGGCTTCCAACTGATATCAGTCTATGACGAACATAAGCCTGAAACCAATAATTAATTCCACACAAACCTTCAAACTGAAAATATTTAATACTCAATTGTTTTCAAATAGTTGTTGGTGGAACATAAGAAGCTTTCGCCTAACTAAACACGGAGTATGTGTTTGAATGATTGTAATAATGGAGCCTGAGCAGTCACTACGAGAAGAGCATTTCAAGTTTGAAGAACTCTGAAGGAGCAGATGCTATACCTGATGTCCATCCTACTCTTCACTGTTCTCTCTAAGCTTCGTATTGCAGTTTAACTTGAGTAAATGACGTAGAGGTTGACCTGAAGTAGCTGAAACGTTGCACGTCATTACCAGACCACCTTTCAGTTGTTTGTGTTCTAAGGGATATAGACAGACTGCTGCCGTGTGTTCTCTATTTGGTTCGAACCCTCATACACAAGGTGAAACCGTCCAGTGCCTTTGGATGCGTTCTAAATAGTCGTAATCTTTTTGAAGCATAATGCATAGTGAGCCTGTCAGAATCATCTGTGATTTCTCTTCATAGCTTTACATCAGCAAAGATAAAAATTCTAAGTCATAAACAGAGACAGGATCAAAAAAGATCCTCATCAAGTTCTTCAGTAGTTTATTTCGTTAAAGAAACAACTGCTTCCTATTTGCCCAGATTCCTTTGCAACCATTCATTTCGTAGCCTATCCGGACGCATATGAACTCCAGGTGACAGACAGCGTCCACTGGGGCGAAAAGCTTCGAATGTGAGCTAAAGTGTTTGTGCCACTATACCTTTAAGATTCATAGTTTTTAAAAATCTCCACTTTTGTTTGCCATAGTGAGCTTTAACCGACTCCATGCCTTCCAGAACTTCTCGAATTATTAGGTCCTTACTCAAAAAGTAGGCTTTTCAACCGTTGCCCGTTAGCTTTTTGAGCTTCATGCGTTTCTAATCTGAGATACCCCGTAGAACTCCTAGCTCATCTTTGTCACTAAGTAGGTGATATACTAACAGTGGATATACAATATCCCCAGAGCTAGAGAACATCGGTCTCCGTAGTGTTGATTGTCTTGTATGGACTGAGTTCGAACCACGAAAGAGCCCTGATGCTATGATCGATTTGATTGACTTAAGCTTAAATTGACAACAAATGTTATTCCGTAGTATCCTTCCATTCTTGACAATATGATTTTCCACCTTGTGATGATGTTTAGTGAACTGATGGAAAACCACTGAGCTTTTCCCCTGCCAACTTATGAACTTGAGTCACTTCTTTTGAGAACCGTTTCTGACTCCTTTCTGTGCACTGAAACCCTAAGCTTGATTACTCCAATCCTCTGTTATTCAGGCTTTGTGTCTTTCAACGCTATGACGTTTTTCCTCTCGACTTACAGGTGTCTAGTCTGTTTGCAGTAGTCCTCGCAGATAAGGCTATCCCATCTTCAAGGATGTCTTTGAGTTGTGATTTTTCCATTTATACCCAGCTTTGCTGAGTTTGATTTGCTTTGTCTGAGTTATGTCTGTACATGCATAGTGGTAAGAGGCATCACACTAAATAACAGCCTGCACAGAAAATGTACAGCTTTCTCTGGTGCACAGATTTATTTTCTTAAGGCAGGTTTATGGTAAGACCAAAGGGCGGACTCGAACCTTCATATGACCAAGACTTCAAATACCTCAAGTATGCGACCTGATAGCTCTCCTATGTGGTAGTTTAAAGGTTGTTTAGAAGGTAATAATAGAGGGACAACTGGTTAAGCGCTTACAGTGAAAATAAACAGTCAGTGCCGTTAGTTGGTTGGCGGCAAACTACTGCAACCCTGGTCAACCTACGTTTCGTGCTTGTTGACTTTCTTAATTAAGGCGTGTCTGAAACCTTGAGGAAATTTACCCTGCTAACCCCCCTCCCCTACACGGAATGCTATTTCCACATGCTAATAACTTTCAAATTTTAAAAACGATTTAAAACTACTGATTTGACAGTTTAAGTGCATCCTTGTGTATGCAAGGCAATACATACTTTCTTTGGAAGTCTTCCCTTTATGCCAATTTTGCAGTCAGTATCGTGATCACAACGACGTCTGAACGTAATATCCGATGAAGTCCCTAACTGTAGGTTTGAGAAGTGTGGGAAGATGTAGACTGCCTGGTTGCGGGGTTCCTGAGACAAATGGAATCAGTGGTTAAGAACACGATGAAATGTCTGAAAATCTATCACAATGGAGCAGATGTACTCACTATTTGACGCTTTCTATAGCTTAAACACTTGCACTAACCGTTATCTTCAGGTTGTTTGTTCTCTCATACCACTTTATCTTCTTTGAAATCACTCTTTTTCCATCTACCTATTATTTGTGTACTACTGTAAAGTGTGGCAACTTGAGGCGATGTAACTGTGTACGAGGTTCTACGTTAGTTTTGTCAGTCAGTCAGTCAATATCCGAGTGGTAATACGATTAGAAATAAAACACGGTTTGACCATTACACTCACTGGAACCATAGTAATGCACAGTGCATACCTAACCTATGTACTCACTTAGAGATAAACTTTATAGGTTAAATCATCCCACTGATCCACATAGGCACAATAATTTAGTTCACCAAGTCCCTTGTAATGACTGTGAGGTCAAATACATTAGTCAAAACAGTCGATTTGGGTTAATTGGAGCTGTCCAAGAGCAAACACATGGCTAAATTGAGACTGGTACACCCTAATAAAACAAGGAATCCCTACGAAAGCTTGGCTACAGTTATGCATGAATTACATATAACCACACTAAAAGATCCCGCATAGTGACACTCTGTAAAAATAATTTAGTTAGGTTAAGGGAGAGATTGATAACTAAATCTAAATTGTTCGAGTTGACATCAAAGACATCCAACGGGAAGGATTCGGCACCGCTTCTAGATACATGCAAAATCCTACTACGTTTGTCACGAAAGTGGAGAGAGAATCTGAACTCAATAAGCTTATCTGAAAGTTGTACAGTTATTGCTTGAAACTTGTAATTTCCCGTTGCCATACATGATCAAATCGTTCAGAGAAGCTCCTATTCCCTGAAACTGTTCACAGCCAATCAACGTACCCACGCGACCCTCCCAGACACATACTTCAACTTTGCAATCCACCTTCTATCATCTTATCGCTGTTTTTATTTCCGATGAATTGACCTACCATCAGCAGTGGGATATGAAGGCTATTATTCAAGTGTTCACATACCAGCCGATCGATAACTAACTGCTATCAGCCGGATCTCATAGATCAGCTCATTACAAACAAGGCTGATGACTCGGATCTAGATTCAACAGAGATTCAGGTTGCTTTCTGATTGTATCGCCTCCCTTCTTATCAAGAACTGAATGTTTCAAGCGAAAAAGTGTTTAGTAGGCTTCAGCATACCTGGGCACTGGTAGAA